ATAAAAGGGTACCTTATGACCTGTGGAGTGATAAAGAAAATCCTGTTTTGTTTTGGTTTTTTTTTTTGTTTGTTTTTTTTTTTAACAACTATGCTGAGGAAAAAACTCTTATTCTGTCATAAGAGCTGGAAAAYGTTTCCCCACAATGAACATACATGCTAAACTCCCAGAAAGATCTGTCATGTATCAAATTAGATAGAAATGTGGAAAAGTTATCACTCTGTGTGGTATCCACAGTGGTCTCTAAAATGTCCTCTTTATTCCTATATGTAAAGCTGTTCCTTTGGGTCCTTTCAATTCCAACTGAAGACTTTGAGAAATTTTTTTCCCTATTCCAGACAAATATTCATCTTTCTCATGTAATCTCCTGTAGCACAGGACMGGGGCTTTTGGAGGTGTCAATACTTCCCTGAGTCTTTCAGTGCCTCTCAAAAGTGCTGCTTTGGCAGCTTCATKCTTTGAGCTGATTGATGTGTGATTTTATCACAGTTTTTTAGCCTTTTTTAACTTAAAACGCTGAGTGACTGATAGGCTGGAGGGAAGTACAATTTCCTTTCCATATCAAGAGCTGTGCAAGGCACCAGGAAAAATCACAGCCATCTACTGGGATCCAGTGCCATGGGACCAGAACAGCTCCCACCGTGGCTCCTGAATGCAGAAGCACTGGAAAACATTTTGCTSGAGCTCCCAGACCCTGATGCATTACCTTGCCGACTCTGCCCAGGAGATAAAGCACTCAATGCTTTTAAGTGGCTGGGTTTGGAGCCAGGCAATMCCCTCCACTGCCAGTGCTTCCATTTCAATCAGAGATATCCTGCCCTTCTGCACAGCCCTGGTCACTCTGCTCTTTCTTGTCTGCAGCACAGGAGCACCCACAGTTTGTCCCTAAAAGCCTCCTCGCTTCATTTTCCAGCACTGAGGAAAGGAAAATAGTGTTTAATGGGAACATTGAAAAAGCACTGCAGCATTCAGTCCTCTGAAATTCAATATCACACACCGCCATTTGTCATTACTCTTTGAAGCATTCTGCCTTGAAGCCTTTGTCTCAGGCTCTGTTCTCTTCCATGCCTCAGTCACTGAGCAAAGCATTAATGTAATCTTTAACTTGSTGTCAGTGCCCATTCCCAGGGAAGAGAGGAAGTTAAACTGCTCTGGAACATCTCTGAGGAGATCTGAGATCAATTTCTGAAATGTTGATACAGAGAGGGCTGGCGGTGCCCAAGGGTCACTGAGTGTTTCATTAATGTCTGATAGAGAAAACAATGAAAMCTGTGCAGCTTGCTGTAAGCAAATAACAGATCAAAACTCACTCATGCTCTGATCTTTCTGATCCTTAACTTATTTTTCGTTCATTTTTGTAATAATCAGAATAAGATGAACACCGTCAAGGCTCTATGGCTCTCTGCCTGCCTTTATTGCCTTATACAAAATAAATTGTTCCGCTGAACTGGGTTTTATTGCAATTCCTTCTCAATTTTCCTATATTTGTATTTTCATTGTAGCTGTTCCCAGACAAAGTGAAAAATGAACAGATTAAAATGTCTGATGAAGTCTCTGAAATGYCAACCTGCAGAAGTCTTTGACTGTCCCATTGCCAAGGACAACTGAATTTCTTTGTTTGAATCAATTCTCATATTGCAGTGAACAACTGCAAGAGGAGGGGGAAGTCTGAATGTTGCTTAGGCCCTTCATCTCAGAAGTCTGCACATTCACCAGTGTCATTTCCCTTCCCATGAGTCACCACAATTGTTGTTGAATTCATGATATCTGAAAATAAAATTTGCAAAAGGGATCAATTCTCTACTGAGCTTCCTTCCACTTCATTTTTCTGTCCATTTGCCAGACAGGTAACCAGCCCAAGCAGCATCAGGACAAACATAAACTTTGGGCATCAGGAAATGCCTCCTTCTAACATTGCTGTCATCACCTCAACCTTAAACGTTGAATGCTCAGAAGGACTAGGATTAGTGATAATGATCTTATTTTGACAGCTTTCTTTTTTTTTTTTTGAAAGCAGCTTAAAAGAAAGCATATTAAAATGCTAATTTCCAGGAAAAAAATTCTAAAGACAAAGGAGGTTAAAAGCATCTATCAATTTTCTTTGTTCTGATTGATTTATTCAGTAGAAGGGGTAAAGTCTTATTTTCCTTTTTTTTCCTTTTGAGAAATGCAGACCCCGAAGCCTAATTCATCTGAAGAAGCACATTTTAAACAGCTGCTAATGTGCTATTAATGAAGGAAAAGTGCTATTCTACAGCAATCCTAATTACTGTGCAACTGTATTTCCTTCTGAACTGTTACAGTTTTGTTATGCAAACATCTCCAGTCCATTAAGTTCCCGAATCGATCATAGTTCATGGATGGTGAAGATGAAAGTACTGTCAGAATTTTCTCTGCTTTTCAGTCCCARGAAGGCTACAGAGGGCAGCTGAACTCCTCCAGCTGGGTGAAGCTCACAGGGTTGGCCCAGGGCAAGGGGCGACTGCCAGAGCTGTCCTGTCCTCACTGCCAGGCAGGGCAACATTGGCCACCAAGCCCCAGCAGCCTCTGCTTTCCTCCTCTCTTTTTCTKGACCCCCTTCATCCTCCCCTTCACCTCCAGAAAGTTCTGCTCTTTRAAATAGTAGATCATTTTATTTTTTGCTCCTAGGAACATTTATTCATCCACTGAAATAATAAATGAAACCCTCGGTTCTGCTAATGCAATTAGCTGCATCAGCAACATAGTTATTTTTCATTTTTTCTTTCCGTTATCTTGTCTTTTAATTATCCTATTTTGTGATTAAAGATAACCACATWCTAAATTCAATCACCTCGAAGAAAAATGTGAAATAGAGAAGYTTAATATTTTATTATAAAACTGTTATGTGGGATCTGGTGATGCTGTAATTTTGACATCAAGAAATTGTCCTTTCCACTTCTGTGCTGCTCACTATTTCTTTTATCTCTTTTTTTACCTCTGAACAGTAAACTGAAGAAGAATCTCAGTTACAGGGTACAAAACAGGTACYTTATGTACCAGAGCACCACAGCTTTTCCTTCTGCTTTTAGATTTGTCTTTTTGTCCGATCRGTAAAGAATGAGATGTCATATTTTGAAAGGTACTCCGAGATAAAGCATTTAAAGTAGCAAAATAGCAGCCAGATCTCATCATTTGCAGAGGAGCCCAGCAGAATGGGTTCCTTTTGCTCCTGACACAGTGAATAGAATATAATATTAGTGCTGTGTTAAGCTACTGTGGCAATGGCCTCTGTCTTTAGCAAAGTCATCACGATGTTTTTCAGTTTGACATCCAAGCACCTCTGTTTCTTTTCCAAATCTCAGGCTAGACTGTCTTACCCTAGGAGGTAACTTGCTCTGAGACATTTTGTCAGTACTGACCACTGATGGATTTTTGGGGTTTGGCCCAGAAGTTCTGCTTTTTGATCTTATAAAAGTATCTTTTCTCTAGAGGAGACAAGGAGCAGAAAGATGCATTCTGCCGGTAGCTGGGGGTCTCGTGTGCCTGGTTTGCAGTTTTCTGTTTGTTTGTCGGTCAACAAAGCCCTGGTCTCTCATGTTCCATGGGCAAGTTCAGAAGGTTATTCCCTGCAATCTCACCCTCTTCAGACAGTGCTACTGATGTCTCTGTTTCTGCTTTTCTTACAGTTCGTCGCTCACCCCAACTGCCAGCAGCAATTGCTCACCATGTGGTACGAAAACCTCTCAGGCCTACGGCAGCAATCCATAGCTGTGAAGTTCCTGGCTGTCTTTGGGGTCTCCATTGGCCTGCCCTTCCTGGCCATTGCCTACTGGATTGCTCCCTGCAGCAAGGTACAAACTCCTGACAGTGTGGGAGATTATGGGCATTTCTTCCAGGGTCTGGAATGAAGCCCCAAATTTTTCCATAATGCTGTTGGGAAGAGATTCAATCCCCTAAGACTGACCCAAGGGAGAGCAAACTTGAGTTGTTGCTTGACTAATTGAACTGTCATGGTTTGAGATTGATCTTTACAAGGGAAAAAGTGGAGTTSTGGGGAAAGAGGGTGAGTGAGTGGGTGACCGGAAAAGAAAAGGAAAAAGAAATGCATAGGAGATAAAAACCTGTGTGGTGCAAAGAAAGAATAGAAGAGCCACCAATACTGGAAAAGAGAACATCCTTGTTTTAGTTAACTCTGATTTTTAAATTCTTGTTTTTTTCATGCACTTTTTGTTGTGGGTTCCTCCCTTCTTCAGGGCTCCTTTGTTTCTTTTCCTCCTTCTCTCTGAGCTTGTGGTTTTAATAAGTGGAGTGTTATTGTGGTTTTAGTTAAAAGAGCATTATTGTGGTTCTAGTTAATAAAACATGATTGTTGTTTTAGTTAATAGAGCATTATTGTGGTTTTAGTTAATTGAACATTATTGTGGTTTTAGTTAATAGATCATTATTGTGATTTTAGTTAGTGGAGCATTATTCTGACACAAGGGCCTGAAACACTGGCAATCCCCAGGAAACTTTTTTAGTGTTGCAGCAAAGACTAGACTTAATCATACAATCCTTATGGTTTTGAGAGAAAAGATGATGAAACTTGGAATTCTGCTGTGTACCTAAATATAGATCAGATGGAGGAGSAGAGTTTGTTGAGATCTAGAGGTCAAAGGACCAGAGCCAATCATTAGTTTAGGTAAAAGCTTGAGTTGTTTGTGGTATGAAATCTGTAGAGATTACCATCCTGAAACAAGTGGAGATAAAYAGGTGTGTGGCTGAGTGATAAATAGCTTTGTTGCTGCTTTTGCCACAGAAGAAGGGCTGTCAGGGGGAGAGAATCATTTCACATCCAGCAATAGCCAGCAACATCATCCCTCACAAGGTAGATGTCTTCTGCAGGAGGCTTATCACTGGTACTTAAATTTGATCAAAATCACCCCTAGTGCAGCTATTGCATTCAGTCTGGGAAGTATCTACTCCCATTTCCTCTAAAAACAGTGATGAATCCTTTCCAGATTTATCAGACACAAGAACTTACAGATCCATCAATGAGTATTGAGGAAAGACTATAATTTGAAACACATATTAATCAATCAGGAAAACAGTCTTTCAGCACATCTGAGAAAATAAAACACATTTAAGCCTTGGTCTCTTCCAAAATAACTGCTCCAAGAGGAGCACTTTGTGTTAATTGAGGATGTAGCTCCATCTCCTCAAGGTTTCTATCAGCACAAAGCCTCTCATCTTTCATGGTCCCAGACAGGACTCCAGAGGTGCTCACAGAGTGCCAAAGCCAGGCTGTGCTGCTGGTGGTTTGGCTGAGTTGTGGAGAGAATTATTGTGTGGAATTACCACCTGGATTCCTCCTGCCAGATCCCAGTTTAGCAGGGATTTCTGAAGCTGTTTAATTCCCTTCACCTCTGTTGAACATTTTGGGATTTGGCACAACAGCCAGCAGCAGCATTTGTGGTGAGGTGTCAGAATTACAGAGGCCACATTTGAATATAGCAATAGGGAGGAAGAACAATTAGACTTGAAATAAGTAGAGAATTTAAAAGGAAAGCATAAAAACGAAAAAATTAGACTTGAAATAAGTGGAGACTTTAAAAGAAAAGCATAAAAACTAAGGGAGAAGAAACTGAGACATAACCCCCCTAAAACGAAAACAGTTTTACAGCAGAAGTAAGAAATTATTGAGAAAGTTACTTCATTTTCATTTTTTTGAGTGTATTAAAATTTAAAAATGGGGGGGACACGCTTAACTTTTCATCAGCTTTGTTTTCATTACACCAAACCTTTCATGCATTCTCATTTTTCAATGTTCCTTTTCACCCCAYTTTAGACTGTGAAAAACCACATGTAACCTTCTAGCACAAAGTCCAATTGAAATTTCTTTCAGGCAGGTATTGTCTTTTAATGCATGGATTTGCCTTGATCAGAACAATGCAGTCTTGATTTTTGATTGGGGCCTGTGATAGAAATAACTGAATAACAAATGCATTTTTTCCCCCATGAATTGATACCTCACCCAAAATCATCACTATTAATTTCAAGGGCTCCAAAAGCCTTGTATCCTTGCACAGTGTTATTGCAGAAAATTCTACAAAGGCTGTTTCCACTCTGAGCAGCCCAGTTTTGTCCTGGTCAGTTTTGCATGTGGGTTTTTTTAGGTTTTAACTGATGAAAACAAGCTTGATGTTACACAACTGGGCAATGAAATAATTTTTCTGTTGTAACAATCAGTTAAGATATTTCACTTTGTGTCTTTAGAGACACACAGGTGTCCAGGCATCAGTCACAGACTCATTTCTGGACCAAGGCAGTGAGAAAAATGAAGGAAATCTCTAATTTCTAATCATTCAGGAGTTGTCCTGAGCAACACTGCAGCACATCACATTCTTAAGATGAACAAATTCTGCMCTTTCGCATAGGGTAATAGAGGAATTCATATTAAAAATTGCTTCACTGATGTATTTGCAAGGAACATGCTTGTCAAGCTCAAGAAAATAATTGTAAGCTTTCTGCAGTAATAAATGGGACAAAAGGCTGATGTAACACTGATTAAATGCAGACTTCTGTTAAATTAGGAGAGAAGAAAGTCAAATTACCCATAGAATTCATTTGSTTCTGTAATACACAGGATTATTTCTCTGATAACTGAGACTGTGCTACTTTAATCTCAGGTCTCTTTTTTTTATTTCTATAGACAGTAGAAAAAGTCTAATTCTCTGGAGAGGATTCATGATTCAATAGTTAGTGCTTTTTCTCTTTTAGTGMATTCAGGGTAGAAATGAGTCTCATACAGATTGCAAGTGCACTTTCTTAAAAACTTCTTGTTAAAGATCCAGGGCTGTCATTCCACTTTACTCTTGCAGTCTGAACTCTCTCAGGTCACAGCAGGAAAATATCTGAGGTTATTACTGTGTGGGACATTTTTCAGACATATCCCATCACCCCATCAGCTCAGTACTGGAATTATAAATTCTACTACAAAGTATAAATCTACAYAACACCACCCATAAAAAACTATTGAGAAGTAGCACTACACCAAGGGTGACAGCACTGGGGGTCAACCAGAATTGCAAGTGTTAGGACTGCTTTTAACWCACTTGATCCACTCCTACATCTGCCATATTATTCCTAGAGAAGATYAAAGAAAGTTGGGTTTCAAGYCATTGCAATATCTASCCAGTTAARYRTGTCCTTATTGACCTCAGRGAATGTAAAKAAGGACCTGGGAAAGGAGCAGATAWTTTCATTTTCTTTAACGGAAAATCTTTCCAATACTTAGGAACATGCAAATTTTCCATTAAGAATTTCTATTCTGTCAACTTCATAGAAGATTTAATTGACATTTTAAAGATTCTGCTAAGAAAAAGAAATAAAACCCAGAATCCTAAGAGTTCTTTTAAATTTCTGCTAGATCTAGAGACCTCTACTTCAAAAATATTTCCTGTTCTGCCAYGAGCAGAGACCAGGGCTCCTTTGCCATTGGAAATAAATAAGAAAACAAGGAATTTCCTTTGTATGTCCTTTTTCCTAAGAAGTTTTATGATCAAATCAGTAGATATTAAGAAAAAAATTGATGATACATTGGCATCAAGGGGAATGAATCAATGAGTAATATATTGCAAAAAAAAAAAAAAAAATCCCATTGTTTTGAGAGGAGTTTGGAAAGGCCCCATCACAGGCTTCAGCCCTGGTGATCCTGAAAATGCTTCTACTCTTTCTGTCTTTCTGGAGTGAAATGTTCTCTCAGAAAATGTAAAATTAAAAGAGTGATATTTAAATTCATTAASAAAGAAAGCCTTTCAAGAAGAGTGGAACTAATATTATCTGTAGTGAAGGGACCGGCTGCTCTGGTTCTTGGCTTAATGTCTTGAAATAAATCCTTGTGTTCTGGGAGCGATTCTCCAGCTTTTGTAGTAATTATGAGAGAAGACTATCATAGCAAGGCTCATGAAAGGCATTTCTAAAGAATAATTAAACAGAAGGTTATTTCTTACATATTGATAATGAACCAAGAATTCACCATTAATAAAAATTCTAACATTTCACAGTGATTTAACGATGAGAAYTGTGTCCATTATTAGGATTTATAATGACACAGGAGTACATTTATATAACACATACACAAACAAACATGACTCTCATATAAAATACCCTGTGTYTTTATTTTCCACTCACCATATGGCCAGGACAATTAGATATTACATGTGGGCTTAAAGGGCAATGTAAGACATTGCCACACATAGAAAATTACCCACAATTAGCACAATGTCTAGTAATAGCAAATAACATCTTGAACAAATCTAAACCCTATTTCCTTAATGATGCAGAATCAATTAGTGAATCCTTTTCACTGTGGGCAAAATTTTTATAGTGAAAAACTTCTAGGAGGTGAGCAAATAAAAAAAAAAAAAAAATCTGATGATTGTGTATGTTCCCTTGCAGCTGGGACGGACCCTTCGAAGTCCTTTCATGAAGTTTGTGGCTCATGCAGTTTCTTTCACAATCTTCCTTGGACTGTTGGTAGTGAACGCTTCGGATCGGTTTGAAGGGGTCAAAAATCTCCCCAATGAGACCATCACGGATCATCCAAAACAAATATTCAGAGTCAAAACAACTCAGTTCTCATGGACAGAACTGCTGATCATGAAGTGGGTGTTGGGTAAGTAAAATATCTACAAGTCCTCCTTGGAAATTCAGCCTCAATAGGAATAGCATGACACACAGTCACAAGACAAAGGAAAAGGAGAAAGAAAGAAAAACAACAGAAAAAGCCAATCTAAACAAACAAAAAACCCAAGCCAAGAAAAATCCACAAAATTGAAACAACCTACTATAAGGCTAAAGGCTGATGTCAGAGTTTTGATTGACAGAGGAGCAAAGAAGACTTTGATCTTGGTCACCACTTTTGAGAACATTGAATGATGCTTAGCAAACTCTCCCTTTCCTGATTTTTCTCTTTCCATGGCAAATGCTATAGATGTTGCCTATTTACCTCTGTTGTTTAATCATTGCATCTTAAARAAGGTAATATAATAATAGAAACATGTAGTTCCACTGTAGGACAAAGTGAGCAGGAAGAAGTGTGGTGAGTCAGCCTGATTTATTACCCTGCCATGGGATCTTCCTATAATTCACTGAACCTCAGTTTCTCTGTCTGCAAAATGAGTATAATGTCATTTGCTTTTTTYGTAATGCACTCCAAGATCTAGGGATGAAACCTGCTAGGCAAGAGTTGGATTTTATGCAATTCAGAGCATGAAATTTTYACTGGTGAGAGGACAGCGCAGTGCTCAGATCTCTTAAAAGAAATTAAATTATTCAGCAATTATAAATTAAGGATTCATGTGGGTGAATCCTTCAAGTACAAAAGCATGCTGCATGCAAACAAGTTAAATTTCTAAGGAGTTTTAGACAAATTCAGATGTCTTACTTTTCCTACAGGCATCATTTACTCCTGGCAGGTCACTTAGCTTGAACCACTAATCTAAACACAGCTCAGGAGGATTTATTGGGAAATTGAGCTTATCAACTCTACAGAATCTTTGTCTACCTCTTCTGTATCTATTTTTGTTCACCACCATGATTTTTATTCTTTTTTTTGCAGCAAATAATTCCACTGTTCCATAAGTACCGAAGGCATTAAATTCCCCTGAAAAATAGGATATGGCTGCTCTATCTGATGATTTCCTGGCCAATGTTTCTTTGTTCCCTGTCCCTGTGATAATCAGAATCCCATACAGGATATTAGGCTAGAAAATACTGAATAGATGCCAGACTGGATAGAGTAAGACCGTAAGATATATTTTTAAAATTATATTAAAGCAGTTGGACAAGATGATTAGATTTTAAACTAGGTGTTCTTTCCTCATAGCAGTAGGTATCTGTCTGCTTGTTGAGTTCCTGAGAGATGAAGAAGAAAACATTTCATTTAAAGTGAAGGTTTTCACTTTTCWGGGAGGAGAAAGGTGATTCATTGTRCAGACTCCTGAATATAATGAGATTTTCTAATGACTGCCTACATCTGCACTGACAATCTTCTCTGGCCACTTTACCTGCCTGCATCCATAGAGCTTCAAACAGAGTTTCAGCAATACTGAGGTGAAATTTTGGTGCACGTGGCCCACACTTGTTGAGCTCCACGTGTGACCCTGAACTTGAAGGACTGTAAAAGCAAAAGGGTGACAACTTTTGGTGCTGAAATCTTATAGGTATTATAAATACCTATAYGTGAGTAGAAATATAATTAAAGTGGTCAACACAGACCTACCCAGTGTCCTTCTCTGATGGAGTGACAATGCAAGGGCACAAGGGATGGGCTGCAGGTGTCATTTAACTGGGCTTCTGCAAAGCCTTTGACATGGACCCTCACAGCATCCTTCTCTCTAWATTAGAGACAGATTTGATGGGTGGGCTGTTAGATGGATAAAAAAATGGTTGGARGCCTGTGAGGTCAGTGGCTCAGAGTCCCTTGATGGACCTCAGTGACAAGTGGTGTYCCTCAGGGGTGTGTATGGGGACCAGAGTTATTTAATACAATATCAAGGACATAGAGGGCTCTRGTGCCCCTCAGTGAGCTGGCAGATGGTGAGTGCTAAGGCTGGCACRCCTGAAGGATGGGCTGCATCACCCAGATGAGTTGAAGAAATAGAATCATGGGGATCTCATGAGGTTAAACAAGAGCAGCCTGTCCCTTTGTACATGGGGAACAGCGTTTTTGGCTCATACATCTGGGACATTGGCTACTTTGGCTGCCTCTTCCCTGTGCCCAGGTCTTCCCATCTCTTGCCTTCAKCTGAGGAAGACTGGGATTTTCCTTGTGAGCAGTATGGGTAGAAATGTGCACTGAGAGCAGGGAGGTTTAATTTCAAAAGATAAAATCCTCCCTGCAAGAGCAGCTGGGGTAGCAGTTAAACTCTGGGTAGATGCAATCTGAGCACTCTTCATCTTTTAATCCAACAGCCTCTGGCAGACCCAGGGAGGCTCAAAGGCAGCTCTGCAACATCAGCTGCTCCTGATTTGTGTACCAGGCCAGAGGATATAGAAATCTGACAAACTGCTCCTTTTTTGTGCACAGGTGGTGAACAGCACTTCTTGAACACTCCCATTTTTTTCCAGATGGGCTGTGCCTGTATCTTGACTCTCCTTCCCCTGCTGAAGCACAGTTGCCCATCAAGGTGACATTTCTGATTATCCCTGCTGTGGGGGAACAAGAGGCAGCAGCTGCAGTGTAGGAGCTGCTCATATCCCACATCTCTGTGCATCAAACCCAGAGAAATCCCCCCTGCCAGAGCCATTGGGGGCCTCAGAAAACACACTGAGATCTAATCATATCCTGGAGAGCTGCTTTGCCTAGCTGCTTCTCCTTTTTGYTAACACCCCATCTTATGTCTCATCCCCTGAATTTTGGCTGATTTTTCTCTTCTCAATACTTCTACTTTAGGAGAAGCTTTGAATTACTCTCTCTCACACTATATATACAATCACTCACCAGTACTGACCAATAACCATGTAATGACCAAGTAATAACTTTTCTGCTTGTCCTGAATTCATTTTTTTTAAATGATTTTCACAAAGTTGGGGAAAAGAACTGTGGAAATTACAGGCCAATGGTGTGTTGCTTTCGCAGAGTGATTCTAATTTTAGTCAGTCTCCTCAGTTTTAGACACTTCCTACTCCATTAATCTGTGTTTTAGGTATATTAAATGAGCAAGACTTGAAATAAATTTGGATGGGAGCTATTTCTGGTCATCAGTGAGCAAGAGCTTTGTTGGGCAGTGCTACCACACCCATGATATTTCCTGAAGTGCTTCAGTACCTTCATTCAGCACACACGTGTAATGCACAGGSCTAATGGCTCCTATCCATCAGTTCTGGGGTGCTTTTTCTTCAAGGTAGAAATGTTTCTTTAATATTTCATCCTTGCTCTAGGAAAAATTCCTGAGAAACCAATTCCTCCACCTTCTCCCTTAGGCTATTTATTATYAAATCTCACTCAGGGTGAGCGGCAGTTTGGGAGGGCGTTCCTGCATTTACTCAGCCAAGCACCTGCAGACTGCAGGAGGAGAGCTGGGAGCTCCTCTCCTCCCTCCCTCTGCCTCTGCTCAGCATCCTGCAGGTCCCAGGCTCTCTTCCAGACAGATCTATACTGGAATAACCTGGGTACAATGCCTGGGAGATCCCAGGGCTGTGGAGGTCAGGGGCTAGCTGTGACCTTGGCTGATGGTTCCATGGATGGCTCAGCTTTCCCTTTTCCCTTTAAATCCTCCCCCATGCACAAGGGCTGCCAGCAGCAGCTCTCCACTTYAATTTAGCTCCACCCTCGGGCTAAATTCCCACTGACCTGTTTCCCTCCCTGTAACCCAGCTTCCCAGAGCACCTCTGGGGACACCCTGTGCTGCCAGGAGCCTCAGAARGCCAAGCAAATGCATTTACACCACGAGAGCTTCCAGCAGAGAGGATGAAAGGAATTCACAGAGAGGAGAAGATTGCAGGAGGTCACACGGAAATTGGCAGGCGCTGCTCCTTCTTGATTAAATGTGAATTTTGCTGCTGCTATGGAAACAKGATTGGGTAGAGTGCAGGAAATATTTATCAGTGGGTTAAATATTCCAACACTTTAGCCATTTAAGAGCAAGCTTTCGGCCCTGGAGCCCTGCTGGGTTTGAAAGTGGGGCAAATTGGTAAATCTGACCTGAGCTCTTTGCCTACTGAATTCACTCATCCACCCCAKCAATTCCCAGTAGGACATGAATGTCAAATATCTGAATTCACTGGCTTTGGCATTTAGGTTTATTTKGAAGTCTATTGTCAGAAATCCTAAATTTGGCCTAAATTCAGTGTTTTCAAAGTGGTAGATCAGACTTTAATATATGGAAATTCATTATTTAATGCAGAAAACTTTATGAAGTTGGAAGGACAGATGTTCTGTCTCACTGTTTTAATCATACTAAACTTATTCATGAACGTTCTCAAAATGGACGCCCCCACTATTTTAGGGAAGGAGGAAAGGACCAGCAGAGCAAGCAGTGCCATCTTCAGTGGCACAGTTTAAAAAGGTCATTTTGGGGACAAKAGAGAAAAATCTACATTTTTTCCAAGTGTATCAAAAGTAGGATTTTYTAGTGTCATCAGAATTTCTGAACTATGCTTTTACTGTCATCACCAGAAATCACCTTTCCATTGACTTATATAGTGACATTTTGAGAACATTTTAAGAACAGCACAAAACTGCATTTAAACTAAAAGTTTTTGAGACTTTTAAAGAAAAGATGCTATTAACCATATCATATAAATTCATTTAAATAAAGAGCCTTTTACCTTGGTCTTAGAAGCCACTGCAAAGAGGAAACAGACCTGTCTGAGTACAAAAACACCTTCTGTGTTTGCCTGTTAAACACTCTGTGATCYCTCCACAGGTATGATATGGTCAGAGTGCAAGGAGATCTGGGAGGAGGGTCCACGTGAATATGTGGTGCATCTCTGGAACCTGCTGGACTTTGGGATGCTGTCCATCTTYGTGGCTTCATTCACTGCCAGGTTCATGGCTTTTCTCAAAGCATCTGAGGCACAACAGTATGTAGATCAGTACGTTCAGGATGATGACCTCAATAATGTCACCCTTCCCCCTGAAGTTGCTTACTTTACCTATGGTAAGATGCTTTTTGCTATCTAATACTTCCTGCTCTTTTAGGTTAATGTGTGGTAGTGCTGAAAGCAGCTTCCTTTTTTGTGATATTTATATAGTTGGGGTTTTATTTGTTTGGTTTTGTTTTTTTTTTAAGTTAAACTAATTATTTTTCCTAGATCTACCCATTCCAGCCATCTTCCTAACCAGTCAGAAAGGATCCAAGTCTCATTCAGCCTTTGATCTTGTGCTACATTCAGGTCAACAACATCCTGGAAAAGTAGCTTGAGCAACAGATAATCAGGAACTGGGAGTGAGCAGAATATAATTTAAATTACACATGAATTAATCTGCTTGGTCCAAATATGAGAGGAGGGAGATGTGTGAGCAAACAGGGAATCTGAGGCTGCAGTAACTCTGCACTTCCGTTACACCCAACACCTCTATAATAAGAAATTAAAATAACAATGAAAATAGCAGCTGCTCCCCCAAAACTGCATTTCTGCRGAGCCTATATCATCTGTAAGCGCTGACATTGGGAAATGCAAGCAGCAGCAGTGGCTTGGCAATATTAATTTTGATGGCTGAAATGGTTTTCCTTTGCTATGCAGAAATGAACAGTTTCACATCTCAGTGTGGGGGGATCCCTTGCACACCTCTGCAAACTCCAGACGTCACCCTGGGCAAAATCCATGGGGATTTCTGCCCACAGAGGGCCTGCAGGAGCTCCAGAGCTGGGCACTAAGGAGCATCACTCACTCCCTAGAGCTGTATGTGGTTGTTCCTGTGCTGTGCTGGAGAGGAGAGCAGAGGCAGCTCTTTGTCCCCCATGGTGTGGCCATGCCCCACACCACCCCAGAGCCACGTGCTGACCCCACAGGATCGGGGTGGCCCCCCCAGCTCAGTCTCTTGTCCCCCTGTGTCCCCCCTCTTGTCTCTCTGCCCACACAAGGCCACGCACTGTCATTCCATGCTGTCATTTCCCCTCTCTGGCTGCTCGCCCACTAAAGTGAGTTCATGATATGCAAACGGTCCAGAACAGAACATCCCTGTGAGATCCTGTGAATTCCTCCATCTGCTGCCTTTCCTTTGGTTCAGATTACAGCAAATAATGCCTGAGTTTACTGCTGTGGCCCTGTCACAGGTTTGAGCTGTGAGTCTCAATCTTGCATCAGTTGATGCAAGGACACTTAGAAGCTGTATTAATATAAATGTTTAATTTTGCAGCTGATTAGGTCAATGATGCATAYCTGGAGCTTTCTAAAGTAAAAATATTGGAGTGACTAGAGTTCAGGGACTGTTTTTAATTTAGAGATAATATGAAACTGGTACACTTAATGTTTATACCTGCTTTATCTGAACAAATCCTAACTTTCTTATCTAATGGTGGGGAYAGAGACCTTGTTCTCCCTAATGCTTCTTTTCCAAATACTGACACAGTGCCCTGTATCCAAATCTACAGCTATACTCCACTGTGTTGTGGTTTTGGTTCTCCATCTCAGGACTTCAAATGGAAAAGGCACAGCACAGTTGATATTCAACTAGGAAACACAAAATATCAAGTTTAAGGCCATGCTGTTTTTGTTTTTTTTTTTTCACTGTGTGGCTTCAGTAAAACCCAGTGACTTGCTCACTCCTCTTTACCACATGACAAATACAACTAATTGCCCCATGTTTGTACAGCATGCTGGGGTCTCCAGTGAACAATTGCCCCAAAATCATTTTTTTTTCTCTCTAACTCCTGGCCAAATGCAAGAGTCAGTATGGAAACGGTCATTAATCATCAAAGCAGCTTCCCCCTAACCCTGTTTGTTACTAACACCCAGTGTACATGTATTGTTTTAGCCAGGAACAAGTGGCTCCCCTCGGATCCTCAGATCATTTCAGAAGGCCTGTATGCCATAGCTGTGGTACTCAGCTTCTCCCGCATTGCTTACATTCTTCCAGCCAACGAAAGCTTCGGCCCCCTGCAGATCTCCCTGGGCAGGACTGTGAAGGATATCTTCAAGTTCATGGTCATCTTCATCATGGTGTTCCTAGCCTTCATGATTGGGATGTTCAACCTCTACTCTTACTACCTTGGTGCAAAGTACAACCCCGCGTTTACAACGTGAGTACGTACGGGAGCGCGGCTGCTCCGCGGGGCTCGGGCTCTCCTCATTCATTGCTGCTGTGAGATCTGCTCAGGTGGCTTCTGCTGCAGCTCTGGGGGAAATCACACCCAGGTTTTGACAGGGAAACCTGGACCAATGCCTGCAGCCCTGGTGCACAGCTCCAGGCTGAGTGTAGGGAGAGGAGCAGCTCAGAAATGGTTCTTTYTGGAAATCAAAAGAGCAGATCAGGGAGATGTTTTGTGAGATGTTCAGTTCAACGTGTCAAGAGAAGCAGTGGAGAAAAAGTTAAAACTGAGATTATTGTTCTTAAACTTGTCAGATGAAATGTATGTCAGATAAGGAAGGATTTTGTTTCTCTGAGAGCCAGCACTGTGGGTTTGATCCCCATATGGGCCTTACCTTTAATAGTTAGACTCGATGATCCTTGTGGGTCCCTTCAACTCAGAATATTCTGTGACAGTATGATGTTTTAGGACATCACCTGCATGCAGTTGTGATTATTGGGTGCCCTTCTGCAGAGTCATCTGCAGGTCATGGTGCTCAAAACTGAGCAAAACCAGCTGAGGGTGCCGGGTTTAAGTCCTGGCTGGGAACTTTCCTGTTGGAGCCACATGAAAACGGCTCAGAGCATCACGCCAGGCTCCTGTTCTCGTGTCCTGTGTGCCTGGGCCATGCCAGCACTCACAGCCCTGCAGAGCCCTCTGTGCTGGGTTCCCTCCTTCCCCTTGTCAGGGCTGTTGGGAGGAGAAAGAGGTTGGCAAATGCTTCTGGAACGGACTAAAGGCAGTCTGGATTCTCCAGGATTCCAGGAACACAAATCCCAACCCTGTGGGGGATAGCTGAGGTCCTAAAGGGTTTTCAGGGCAGGGGCCAGTTCTGCTGACTATGGGGGATATGTCCCATGCATCCAGGGAAGCCTCCCTTGCATGACAATGTGTGACAGCACAGCCCTGGGACACTCAGTTTAGTGTCTCACAAACACACCCTGACTTGCCTTAGGGACACAGCGGGGCTTTTCTTCCCTCACACCTGTCCATGAGGGGAGTTTGGCATGCTGTTTTACCCTTGCTGTGATCTGATTTCCAGGAAGCCACCCCACAGGAGCAGTGCTGAGCAATCAGGGGTTGCTGTGTGCACAGCAGACATTCGGTGCTGCATTTGATGTGTCAATTCTGTAACGTGTCACACAGCCAGCCTGGGGCTCAGCTCATCACTCCTCTGGGAGAAATGACCTTTTCAGCATCATTTCTGTTCTGMAAGTGGCTGTTGTATTCCAGTTTTACCACATCACCCTCTTGTGCAACATGTAACCTGTAACATAATGTTTATGTTCTCTAGTTGAGCCCAATTYGCCTTCTAGACCTCTCCTGCAGCCTCAGGGTGCATTTTAATGGAAGGAATTGTAGACCAGATGCATTTACGTCTRTCAGTGCTCAGTAGTGAGGGAGCAGAGAACTGAGTGTGTGGGATATGACTTGCTTCATATTTGAAAAGAAAATGCCCTTGAAGCACAAGACTTAATGAGAATCGAGTCAGCAYCATCCTGGTGGCACAGCAGCCCTCACTTATGGCATCCCCCAGGCACATCCCTGGAGAACAGCACTGACAAATTCCAGTCACAATTCTGTGCAGAACTCTCTTATTAGCACTCGTTATCTAAGTGGATCTTCCAGTAGTTACTGTCTTTTGATTGAAATGATGATSAAACAATCACTAAAATGATGACTGATCACAGGAGTAATGATTGCTCAAATGCCCAAGTGATGTTTGGATTGGGGAGAAATCCTCCTTAACTTCAGCCTGCTGGCTACATATCCTGGAGGGATTTCATGTTGTTGTAAAGCAAATTTTCCATGAGCAKAAATTTTCCTTTTAGGAATTTGGAAAAGACTTTAAAAATACTTACTTTCTTCTGATTATTTAAACACACAGGAGCGGCTARTGATGATCAGTGAAAACAAGCTCTTTCATCATGTGAAACAAAGAGAAAAGATTTACATTCATTCCAAAAACCCTTCTTAGACACTCCATTCCACAAACTAGAYGCCTTGAGGCAGACAGTCAAACAATTTTAATAAGCTAATTGAAAGGTTATTTTGGCAGATGGASAGCCACCAGCTGTAGAAACGTTTCCTGCTCTGTTTTTTGTGGGCCTTGCTGAAGGTGGTGGTCTCCTGCTGCCATTAACTTAATGGAAAGGAGGAAGATTTCAGCATTAGAGATGAAAGAAGAATTCAGCTCTTCATTCTTGAAAAATCACTGAGGAAAAAGGGGGTAATTCTTTGGTGTCCTCACAACTCTTCTGTCACTTCAGCAACATCACTGAATGCATTGCCGGGGGATCATGTTTGTGAATTCTAATGAGGATGGGTGAAATTTTATGAAAAGTGATTATTTTTCTGTGGAACCTGATTCTCAGAGTTCACTTGGAGAGTTGTGACAGGAAAAGACCCACTGGATTTGTGCACTTGATTGACTGTGGCCATTTCCAAAGGATTGCCTCAATGGGAAACCCCAGACAAAGAGCTGCTCACTAAAAGAACCCCAAATTACACATTTTAAAATGACACAACTTTACAGGACTGTAGGCAAGCAGGAAAAAAGACTGTACACTGAGGGAATTGCAGGGAAAAAAAAAAAACAAAACAAAATGGTATACTGAGGGAATTGCTTGCTTAGTTAGTGATATATAGTTATTATCTATCTATCTAGATAGATAATGATAACAGTGAATGTTTGGTTTAACTCTCACCGTCCCTTGCTACTGCACTTTTGAAATTGTGCATTCAATTTCTCTTCTGTTGTCATCTACAGAGCAAGCACAYAGCACCCCAGTGACCTCTGATTTGAGTTATTATGCRAAGTTTCTGTCATTTSCTYCCATTCTGGAAGCARAGGAAATAAAGATSCAGTGGTCTTTACTCCACACAGTTAAAGAGATTAACTAAATTAGTGATTAACTAACCATGGGATACTTTCAATATATTTCAGAAGTTCTTCAGTGCTGAAGAGCAGACCATTTCCACAGCAGTCACCACCCAGCCAGCTATGTTTATCTGTTTATCATATGCTGTGTACAGCACACAGCTCTTGAAACAGCCTATAATTAAGAACATGCTATGCAAACAAAATCTAAATGGAGGCRAGGCTGATTGTGTTCATCTTGCTTTCTGCATCAGAAATCAGGCTGAAGGCTACGAGGCAAGGTTTTCTGTCTCACTCTCCCCAAAGGAAAATGTGACTCACTGCTCAGTGCCAAAGATACTTCTAGGCTGGAAGGCTCTTTTCTACTTGTTTTGCTTTGTCAAAATGTGATAGTTTTGTAGATTATATTGACTTCATCGCTTTTTTGGCAGAGCCAGTTCTTGGGCTTATTTAAGGAGATAAATCTGAAGGGGTGCCTTAGGCTTTCTTAAAGAGGAGGGCACAAGACTGATATGAAATCATGGCCTTGTCATGATCCTTTTTGATGAACAGCACACTGCTGTTTACAGCAGTGAGGAAAATCATCAACTGGATGATTGGTTATGGTCTGTTTTCTTCTTTGATGCAAAACGTTTAAATTTTGCAATTTAAATTTGTAAACAAAAAAATCTCTGTGGCCTCTCTACTGCAACAGTTGGTTCTATGACAGTAAAGAGGGTGATTGCTGTGTACCCACCTTCCCAAGGATCATCAGCCAATCTGTCACTGCCAGACCCTCCTGCTGCCAGGAGCTGTCTGGCTGGGCAGAACTCCTGACTCCCTCCATCCCTTCATTTGTTTGCCTTTGAGAARGATAAAACACCTGCTGACCTTGCAGGAAGGGGGTAAATTGCTTAGCTGGCAACAAGGAGACACATTGGCATCTTGGAATCCTTGAGAACTTGGCTCCAAACACCCTCCTCTCACGCTTTAGTGAGATGTTTTTAAAAAAAAAAAAAATTAAAAAAAAGTCCAACCGATGTTCCCTGCAACCTGTGCCAAATCTCGTGCAATTTGTCAGTGATCTAAAGGGAGAAGGAGGGAGCCATCCAGACTTTTTGAAAGGCAGGGATGGTTTGTACAAGGAGACCTGTGCCTACCTGGGGGCACTGCCAAAGCTCCCTTTTGGTGCTACAGGTTAGAGCAACCTCTCACCACCCTCCCAGTGCCACCAGCACGGGAACTGGTCCCTGGTGTGACACTGGAAATGATGGACACGACACAGGAGCTGTCACCCCAGCCTTGTCTCTGGGGCTCAGGGTGCTCAAARCTGCTTGCAGCTCTCAGTAACTTTTCAAGGAGAATCTGGCGCTGCTCCAGGAGAGAGGTTAATGTTTTAGCTGCAGAAAAGGAGCAGAGTTGACACGTTGTATTAAAATCTGCCGGCARGGTGGAAAACTTAGGGATCATTTCCAAATTAAAAAGGGAAGTTGATAGCAGSGTGCAGCTGGGCTCAAGGCTAGGGGTTGTGGGTTTTATTAGTTTGAGAAATCACTGTGGTTTCAGTGCAGTGTGTGTCCCTTAACTGGAAAGTACCACATTTATTGAAGGAGCAGGGGCCASATTGCTGCTGCACGGTGGAAGGGATCTGACACATCAATGACAGGTCAGCTTTGCTGCAGCTGAAGGCAGCAGGAAACAGATGAGTTCCACAGGAGAAGAAATGTGCAGAGAGTGAGACAGTGATGGCACCTGATGGTCACACAGTCAGAAATCATCCCACAAAGGGATCTTTGCAACAGTGCAGAGCAACATGGGGCTGTGTCTGACTGTGGTATCAGTGAGTGGGATCAATAAAACTGGCCAACATTTATTTGGAACATCACTCAAGATTACTCCACAGAAGAGAGTTATGCAGTTACATATTGTAAATATTATACTAAATATTTACTGCAGTCTTACTAGAAATTGTAAATGAAATATGCAGTAGCACAAATTATGATGGGCATTTCAAAGGGTTGAAATTAGTTTCTCTTGTTTTTATGARTAGTGTAATTGACACTGGAGGTGATGTAGAATTTATTTTTGTTGTAGAATATGTCACRGTTTGTGTCTATAAGGTGTTTTTAYAAATGKATTTAGSAGATTATTCCTCCACCATAGTAAAAGACATTTCATCAAAATAATTTGTCTGTGGCATTGTTTCATTTGAAAGCATTCACCTCTTGGCAGGAAGGAGGAGAGAGGAGGCAATGAACTATTAATGGGCCAAGGATTGCTAGGTAAAGGCAAAATGCCTTCTAAATTAAAGATTAAGCAAAATGCTTTCAAAATGTGCCAGCATCCCTCCTCCTCCTCCTCCTCCTCCTCCTTCTCCTTCAGCCCTTTACAGCTGTGGCTGCTCCCCTTCTGCCTCTTACAGGATTCCTTGGATCAGACTCTCTTTTTGACCCCACAGTCCAGCCACATTCCTTCTAGCCCCACTTCTCTTTGTCACTGGTTTATTCCCCCTTTTCCTATCTTTCAACCTTTTAATTTTCCTWTTGTTCCTTTCTACTTTCAAGCAAGGGTAATAAATCAAAATGCCTCTCTGCAACAYCTTCTACCACTCCTTAATTCAATTTTTTTCCAACAAATGCTTGAGTGTCTGACTTGTTTGCAGTCCCAAAGAAGGATGGGAAGAAAATCAGACTATGGTCTGACTATATTTGCACTCTGTGTTCTTTATTAATGCTACAAAGCAGAACTTTTCAATCCTTTCTCCTGGGTAAAAGACGTGTTCATCTTCTGCCCTGGAAACTGTGTAGAAGGAGGTCAGACTCAGCTTTGTCTTCTTGGGATGAGAAAAGAGTGAGTGAGTAGAAGCAAAAGCCCTACAGAAAAAGTTTTAAACTGCAAGTTRCCCACAGAATTGTCATCCCTTGTTAGGGACACAAAATCCAAATGACAGGYAATGTACCTGATAAGAACAGATGGAGCAAATCAGGGCTCACTGGAACTTTGTGGTATTAATCAGAATTCATATTTCTTTATCAAATCAGGAAATWGAATTTGGCACATCCCTGGGTGATGGATAATGGGTTACAAAARCTGTGCCAAGACCTATTTATATTTGTGCATTGCTGCTTTTATCATTACCATGTGGCCTGGCAAACCTGGTGTCAATTCTATAAAGTGATTGTTTATTTTATTTTTAGGGTAGAAGAAAGTTTTAAAACCTTATTCTGGTCAATATTTGGCTTATCTGAAGTGATATCTGTGGTGCTGAAGTATGACCATAAATTCATTGAGAATATTGGATATGTACTCTATGGAGTATATAACGTGACTATGGTGGTTGTGCTGCTCAATATGCTAATAGCCATGATCAACAACTCCTATCAGGAAATTGAGGTAAGAGAAGAAATTAGATTACAAACTCAATGTATTTAATTATTACTGATAATGAAAATGCTAAAAACCCAAGGAAGCTGTACCTTGCTCCACATCCAAGGTTAGAATGCTGAAAACAGATATTACATGGTGTGAGAGTTAAGGCTGAGTCCGTCCCCAAGTTATGATTGAATTAATAATCAACAGTGACTCATTTCTAGAACAATTTCACCTTCTTTGTTTCTAATAGGCCTCTATGAGTAAACCAAATTTGCTTTACATATAGTTAATGAAAGTGGTTTGTGATATTTTTTATTCCCTGTGATGGTTATGATAATTTATCCATGTGTGTTGCCTTAGCTGCATTGTTTGCTTATATTCAGACAGAGCAATATTTCTTCTAGTTTTTTGCCCTGTTCTCTACTGCTTAAACACTTCAGCCCATGTAATTCTGAAGGTCATGTATGCATATTTAGAAATTCCATATTTTCCAATTACCAGGCATACTACTTGATACAGAATATTTTGGGGTGGTTTTTTTGGGGGGGTTTTTTTTGGGTTTTTGTTTTTTTTTGGAGGAGTCGCTAGGTCTGCAAAACATGATTTTGTTGACATTTGCAAAAACTATCTTTTAAAACTTTTAAAGCTATCTTTTAAATATTTTATTTTCAAGGAATATGAATAGGATTCTGCAGAAAGGCATTTGCAAGGTTTACCCAGCCCTGCTCAGTAGTATGGTGATTAGCAGAGTGGRTTTGCTGAATGTTTTGGACATAAACAACTCCCTGCTAATCTAAATAAAGTCAGAAAAAAAAAATATATATGATTTGGATAATGTTAATGTTGAGTCACCTCTTACTTCTGATTTGTTAAATGTCAAACTTCTGCGGTTGGGTTTGTATTAATTACTTGTCCTAATCTCCCCTCAGAACCTGACATTGAAAAAGGCCAGGGCTGAAAATATTTTCTCACTGTAATGTGTGATTCATCCATGTACTGTAGCACAAATATAACCCTGTGTGTGCTGTAACTGAGTCTAAATGTCAGAGAGGCCTTKCATACGCTCTCTGGCCCAGAATCTTTCAGGCTTGAAGAAAGCAGAGTCATTTCTCCAAAKGTTTCTATTCACTTAAGATCAAGCAATTTTCTGAATCCTGTTCACCTGGAACAAGTTTTATTTCAGAAGAGGTCTCAGCCTCTTACTGCATTTTCTAGTTTATTGTRGTAGACAGAGATGCTCTTGAAAGTTTTCTGAGAAAAAAAAGATCTCTGAAAATACCTGAATAGATGGCCTATRTTAACTTTCCAATCTAAACTTTGTGATGGGCATTTTCTTGGCAAAATACTTTGTCATCCTTCTTAATTGCATAAAAATTTTCAGAGTTTTGTTGAAGATTACTTGTAWGTATCAGCAAGCAAAGCAAGTGTGAGCTGCTTGGGCCAGACCTTCCTAATTGAGGAAAAAGTAGTTCTTCTCATAATAAATAATTTCAATCCTCAGTAACAGTGAGATTAAAGACAGAGTTATAGAATCAGAGTCCGTGGGGTTGGAAAAAAACTATAGATCATTGACTCCAACCATTCATSCAGCACTGCCAAKGCCACYSCCAGCCCATGTCCCCAAGGGCCACAGCTGCRCACCTTTCAACATCCCCAGGGACASTGACTGCAAAGTTCCTATTGCCARTGTGTTCATCTGGTGASAGCAATGTCAATAATGCCATAGGATGGGCTACCAAGGAACCAAATTCCATCATGGGCAGTGGGGAGATGGTTTACTATCAGCTGGAGTGACAAAATCATGTTCTCCTGCCTCCCATTTAACATGTCTCTTCAGCAGCTTCTGTTTATGCCTGAAGTATTGGTGCTTCCTGAGAAATTGGCATTTATGGAAAGAAATCCTTTTGCCAGCCATAAAACAAAGCTAATTCCATCAGTAATGCTTTTTAACTGCTCAACAGAAAGGCATTATTACTGTTCACAAGTGATTTATTCTGTAAATCAGCTTTAGGATGCTGTGAGGTGCAACCCCAAACCATGAGAAGAGCAAATGGCAGCAGTGAGTGCTGCTGCACTGGTGAAGACACATTGCTGTGGCTGTGGCAGAATTAATCTCCACTGTCCATGCCAGTTTCTGACCTGGTTTCAGARGTGCAGGGTAATCAGAGGCTGTGAATTCCAGCAGAACACAGATGCACACATGTACAGGGTGTTGGCAGATCCACACCTCTGTCGCTGTTTCTGCCCTCCATGTAAAGCACAAAGACAGCAGCTGTAGAGGAGCTGTATCTCACCCTTTCCTCTGCCTGGTGAATGGCCCTGAGCCATGGCCCTGACCATCCTCCTGTATAAATGCCAAGTGAACAATTTCCCCCATCAAATATTTTCTAACCTTGCCCTCGTCACTTGGGAGTGACCCCAGCCCTCTTTGACTGTTCACAAAGGAGATTCACAGACAATGAATGATGGACTTTGCCTCCACCTTCATCACAGGAGGAGGTGAATGGCAGAGGAATGAAGGTGTACAGGGATACAGACAGGATCCAGAGGAAATGTGCTGAKAGCAGAAAGCAGTGGCTGAGCCTGTCCATGGATTGCTGCCCAGTGCAGGGCTAACAGATGACACACAGCGCTGCTGTTCATCAGAGAGGCTTTGCTGTTGTGCTCAAATCAGTTTCTTCTGCTTTCCATGTCTCTGTCCTGACACATTCATTTATCAGCACAGCAAAACSACCAGATTGTTACTGAGACAATCCCTTTGATATCCAAGGAAATAGTCTAACATTTGGAGGACACATACTCTCTGTTTATTCATCACTTTGTTTAAATTCTCCTTATTTTGAGATTACCACAGAGAAGCCAGCAATGACATGTTYTGTGCCTTGTTCTGGCAGGCAGAATCTGATTCTGGTTWACTCCTACCTGTATGTTTGTCCTGRTCATAGCTAAATTCCTTCCTATTTATTAATTKGAATGTTGATTTGTTTTCTCCTTCTTCCCTTCCCAAGGAGGATGCAGATGTGGAGTGGAAGTTTGCACGTGCCAAGCTCTGGCTATCCTACTTTGATGAAGGAAGGACTTTACCTGCTCCTTTTAATCTAGTGCCAAGCCCTAAATCATTTTATTATCTCATACTGAGAATAAAAATGTGCCTCATAAAACTCTGCAAATCTAAGGCCAAAAACTGTGAAAATGACCTTGAGATGGGGATGCTGAATTCCAAAAAACGGGTATGTTTTATCTTCACTTTTCAGCTTCTTTGGGGAAAGGACTGATGCCAGGGACCTTCTGGAGGGGGTTGCATGGTCCAAGGGAACAGCAGAGCCTGGCAAAGGATCTCATCACTGYGTGGTGTTTGTTCCACATCGCAGCTGAGGATCCTCCCAAAGTTGTGTCCTCATTGCACTGGGCACCATCCTCACACCAGGGAAAGGGCAGCCTTATAAAAGCAGGCACTTGTATAAATTTATAAAAGCAGGCACTCCAAGGYCAAGAACCAAGGTCAAAGAGAGGGGCAGAAGCAGAGGCACAGGAGGCTCTCAGCTKCTCTGGCTCAGCCCATCGGTCCAGGCTGTCCTGGCTGAGCTGTRTGACACTGCCCAGGGAGGGGACAASRGKGTGACCCTCAGCTGTAACCTCGAAAGAACCCAGGGAGAGGGAAAAGGCAGCTGGAGGAGGCTTTGCAGACCTTGTCTTTGGGACTGCAGGAGGCTCTAAGCCCCGTCTGCATCTCTTGGCTCTCTTTGGAGGCTCATCCAGAACATGGTGAAGCCCACGGCCTCCAGAGAGGATTATCCTCCAGGAGTTTGGGAGATTGCTCAAGGTYTGCTGCTCTCCCACTCTCTGCCAGCTCCCAAATTAAAGGGAGAAATCTCTGTCCTTGTTATCAAATAATTAACTGCCAACATGGTGAGCGTTGCCAAGGTAGACAAGCATGTCTACAAATCTGTTTAACACTGCTCTTGAGTAATGAAAGGACCACTGGAACAGTGGAGTGTCAAAATRAAAGAAGTGTTTTTCCTTTAACTCCCGCAAATGATGATTTAAAAATATGTTTTTAAAATGTCGTTTGAATCTAACCCCACAAAGCTTGCTTTGTTTCAAATTTAATTTCTGCTTCAAASTCTAAACCAAAGTAATAAAATTTTCTCTAAGCCTTTCCTTCCCCAAGCAAGCTACATGAGTGAAAGTGTCTGGCTTGCCCTTTTCCRTGGAACTCATGCAAAATTCATATTTTCCATAGCTTTAGCATAAACAATTGAGAGTATCAGTCATTTCTTGCTTGCCTGTTGTTTTTKTTCACATATCATCTTTAAGAGTCTCTGTAAGCTCATGACACACCTGATGAGTAAGTTAGAAACAAAAAAAAAAAAATACATTATTATTTCAGACTTTTAATCTAATCATTATAAGCACCCTGTTTTGAAAAAGAAAATAATCAGGATCTCGGGTTCAACCAGGAAAGAAAAGCCCTCATCCAGGGCCTTCCCTCTACATACAATTGCATATAGATGCAGAAGTCTGATATTTATTCCTYTGAACAAGTGATTTCATTTTTTTTTTGTTAGCACTTGGACCAAAAACCTCCAAGGTGGATAACAGTCAAGGAAACCTCTAACAAGTATTTTGCGTAGTGTTCAGAAAAGTCTCCTTGGAAGCTTCTAGAGCTGTGATGCCTCTGATAAAAATAAAATGGTCCATTTTAAAAAATACATATTTTTCTTAAGCMAAAAAAGTAGCAAATGGTACTACTGTTTTAAAAGGACCAGTGAAAATCAACGGTGTTTCAGAATTTGTTTTTGTACCACAGTCATGTTCTTTCCAAATACAAGTAGTTATTCTTCTTCCTTTACTAAGTTGTTCTRAATTAATAAGCACCAGTCTCATTAAAAATATTTTACGCCTCTTAACACCTTGTTATATGTTGCTTGTGAATACCATTTCTGTAGATAATTTAGAATCCAGGTTTTTCCTTTAATTTCTGTATTTTTTTCTCTTTTCTGTGTTCCAAAAATTCGGAAATAATTTCCARTTACTTTTTTGTCCTGAATGTTCTGTCTTTTACCATACATGGGACAATTTCCTACTGTTTTTCTAAAGCTCTGCTTAGTTTGGGGCTGTCTGGGTATGAAAAGCTATCACTGATTTAATCATATCATGATGTTTTATAATTTCAGAAAGTTCGTTTTCACTCTAACATTCAAAACACAGAGAGTTTTTCTGGGAAGAACGCTTATAACAAGCCCACAAGATACCAGGTAATCMCAGCACGAAAGCAAGAGCCAGGGGAGAGATGTGTCAGTGAGCAGCTCTTACCTGCAAGGGTCGTGTTTGCCTTCTCCCAGTCGATGCCATCCTGGGATGGGCCAGGCTGGGGATTCCAGAGACAAATCACCCATGGAAWTACACGTGGTGCTAACATTTGTCACGTTAATTAATGCCACTGGAGGGTGTTTAAATTAATACAGGAGGTACCATCTGACCTTTGCTCCTCCCATCCTGTGTCCCGCATCCCATTTCACACAGAATCATCTCTCCAGCTGCTGCAYTCCCATCTGCATGTGCTTCCTCTGGCAGTGGCTCGTCCTGCCAAGCTAAACCTGCAAAGTGCTACGGTTCAAACCCCCCTGTGGCTGCAGGGGTGGCWCAGGGTCCCCCAACTCTCTGTTGTGCCAGCAGATGTGTTATTTCTTGTGCAAACGTGTCCTAGGGCAATACAATAAAMTGAATGCGCCCCGCCTTCTTTTTGCCTTCTTTTTAAACGTAAAATGAAGAGGAATCTGATGGCAAGTGCTATATCTGAAGAGACCAACATTAGAGACAGATGAGGAAAATCGCAGTTAAATTGGTTAAAATGTGCAATGGCAGTTGTGGTTTGTATTGTGTTGGTGCAGCACCCAGCACAATGGGCTCCTGAGCTGTTCAGCAGACCAGCAATAAATTTCTACTGGTTTTAAAAGTTTTCCAGGCTTTTGCACCTCAATAGGAGGGGTATCTAAAAATCTGAGTTAGAAACGGGATGCATTCACTCTGGCATCTGAAGCTGTCTATAAGATGGCTCGATACCATCAGAGAAAAAGGGTTGAGAGCGTGTGTCCTGCTCAAAGTGACATTTCAGCACTTCTGGCACTGTCCCATCCATTCAAACCCACAGGTGATGTGTCAGCTCTGCTGGACTGGYTCTCTTCCTGTAGCTATTATTTCTCAATGAGACCACCTAATGTTTGTGGTAAATTAGACCCTTATTTCCAATATTGAAAAAGCCAAAGGTGACTGTGAAAAATAGATAGGAAAACATAAGTACCTGTTATCTTGCTTTAATAATACAAGATTTGTCTTCAAATTAACTTAGAACATTTCAGATGATTCAGGAAGAAATTGCCMAAATAATATCAGGAAGGTGTAATAGTCTTGATTATCTAAAGAAGGAACAGTATGAAAATCTGACTGGCAAGCTTTCCTTTTACATGTGGAAAAACCTTTGAAGCAGTTGCTGAACTGTTTTCTTCAGCAGTATTTATCAAGTGATGTATCTGCAGTCTCTGCAGTCTGTGTGCTTGGACTGCATGTGGACAGTGCTCTGGAGGGATAACAAAAACACTCAGAATTTAAACATGCAATAATTTGGAACGTATGAGGAATAAGTCAACACAGCTGCCATGATCTGGGAATAAACTAGTCCAGGAAAATGATAGATAAGTCAGAGGGATAGTTGAAACTGGAGCAGAAATATGTCATTTTTTTTTTCCCTCAGGTAATAAGAGCCTGTGTTGTGATTCCTTGTTTTAGTCTAAGTTTCCCCTATCTTCTGCTCTGAAAAAAAGCTATTTATTTTCGGATCCAGGATTTCCCAACCTTCCCCAAACATTACTTCATTTATGTTTTCTCAGGTGACAGCCCTWCTTCCCTCTGGATTCTACTACCTTGGCCATCTCCAACACTCCGTACGTGCCCTGTGCCTCTCCTCAATGACTCACCTGCTTAGCCAGCTGCCTCTACATACCAGGACAGTCTTAGACATCCCATAATCCATGGTTGCATGGATCCTTCTTTGATCTTCACATGCCTTTTGCATTGCTGTAACTCTTATTTGGCTACTCAGAAAAAAAAGGAGCAGGTGTACTGATTTCTCAATCCTTGTTTCACGCCTTTTGCAGCATTTTTCAGTCMTGTTCCAAGCAGAGATGGGATTGCTCTGTGGAGAAGTGAGTCCATGCTGGGAGAGGCTTCTCCCTGAGCATCTGGTCAATGTTTGCAGATGATGTTCCTAAATCTCTGTCACTCACAGAGCAATTCTTTTTTTATGTTTATATGTTTTTATTCCTTTTTATTTTAATGGGGTTTTATTCTGAGATTTCTTTTCCCCACTGAGTCTTTTCTGTAGTGAAGGCAAGGCCTTCAGCTCTACCCCAGTGTGCAGCCCAAGGCAGCCAAAGTCACTTTCCTTCTAGACAAATGGAAATTAGACTTTTTTTGAACAATAGCACATTGCAAGCTCATATCCATAACCATCATATATTTCCGTACATTCTATTCTTTACTATCATCTTCCATTTTATAAGTCATGGCTCTATATTTTTCATTGTACATGTCTCTTAAAATCCACCATTTCCCTAAGAAACTTCTCTCACTTAAGCAAAGTTCCCCACCTCTGTTCAAGCTCTCTTTTTTCTGTCCTTCTCTAAATTTATTTTCTCTTAAAAACCCAATTACAAGGCTAACAGAGTCTTTCTGTGAACCTGGGGTCAGCTGCATTGTGAGTGAGTTTGCTAACATCATTAATTAACCACTTATTTCTTCCTGTAAAGTACCATTAGGCAGCAACATGCTAAAAGAAAGCTCTGGGAGCCATTTCTCAGCTTTCTGTTGGATCATTTGTGTTTTCTTTCTCTCTATGGGACTGCTCCATATTCACATACATCCCACAAAATATCCCGAAGTGCTTCACATGTGGGGTCGCGATCGAAGGGCTGTCAATCAACTACTGTAGTGCAGTGTTCATAATATAAAATACAAAATAAATGGGAAATCAATAAAAAATTATCCCTAGTGAAAGCAGATGTTTGAATTGCTGAYAATAAGCCTGGAATGAGGGCAGTGTGGACAGTCTCCCACTAAGAGAAGTGTTTCTGYTCTCCTTGCAGAAGATCATGAAGCGTCTGATCAAGCGCTACGTGCTGAAGGCTCAGGTGGACCGAGAAAACGATGAGGTCAATGAAGGCAAGTGGAATTTAGTAATTAACACCCCTAATGAGCATGGGCTGTCACTGCTGCTGATCTGGCCAGGAGGAGGGTTGGGCTAAGGTGAGACAGAGCTGCTCGAGCTCCCACCCCGGTGAGCAGTGCTGGCTCTGAGCCACCCTGGTGCCCTTGCAGTTCCAGGTTTTTATTTTCCCTTTGCAGAACCCACATCTGGCAGGATCTCCACACAGCCCCACTCACCCCACAGCTCCACCATTCCTTTACAACAATCAGGGTATGGCCAACACCCAGCCTTCCTTGGCTGTCTCAGCAGAGCATTTTCTGACTGCACTGCCCAGGCCTGCCCCAAGGACATTTTTTTTGAATGGGATACAGAYTCATATTGTCATGGTGGCACGTGGGGTTTGTGTGCAGGTGGAAAACAACCTCWAACACCTCTTAAGTGCTTCCCTCCTGCAAATACCCTGTGCAAATACCCGGTGGAGATCAATATGCGGAGAGAGAACAAATCTGAGAAAAAAATATGAACTCTCCACATGTGTTTGCTATTGCTTGTGGGCACCACTACTGCAAGTACAGGTTATTCCTTATAACTACAAATATTAAGTGCATAATATAGAGGAATCAAGTGCAGCTCCACACCCATTCCTGAGCAAATACACTGAAATGAGTGCTCTGTCAGGTGTCAGAACCATCAGGATTATTCACTTCAGTACTTCTAACAAGGACATTTTCCTCTTTCAGGAGAACTTAAAGAAATCAAACAAGATATTTCCAGTCTCCGCTATGAACTCTTAGAGGAGAAGTCCCAAGCTACTGGTGAGCTGGCGAAACTAATACAGCAGCTGAGTGACAAGTTTGGGAAGACCCTAAATAAGGACATTTGATGGTGAATACAGAGAAAGGCAACTCGTTCTCTAAACATTGCTCATTCTCAACCAGCATCTTAGGAGGGCAAAGAACATGTGAAAGATGGGTACTGCACAGTCAGCTTTTGCTGACAAGCAAAGTATTGGTAGGAGCACTTTTACTTTTGCATTTGGTGAGTGACCAGTTACACATTTTCTGATACAAAAGTGACTTATCAGTAAAAATTTATGCCCCTTGACATCAGAAGCAGATGCACCATAAAGAAGGCACTTCCAATTAAAGGCAAAAAAGGCCAGATCTTCATTCATCTGACTCCAGAGAAGATAAGGTAACCGTGCTCATTAATACCAACAGCGTCAATAGTGACCAGAATTGGGTGAAGTCTGAAGAAAAAAATGTGCCAAGCATATTCCCCACTAAATTTTTAAACTTYCTATTCTTGGGTGTGTAYTCTCCTTTTATGTTTATGGTGGCARCCCTGRAGATAACTCTGAACAGCRCTGYRTCTAACAAAAAATRAAATGAGAKTTCATCTGTTGAAATGACCAAGGCAGAGTACAACAACTACAGACTGGATGGCAGCATTGGAAAAACGGAATCAAGCTTGTGGGGTAAATGATCCTTTAACCTGAGGAAAGGATTCCCAGCCAAACACTCCTCTCCACCTTTTCCAGCTGTATTAGCTAGTCTGCTGATGGATATGGTCTCTTTGTATGCACTTAGCCTCTCTTTTATCCTTAGTCGATCCCATCTCCGACAACAGTGTGCTGAAATATTCGTAATGATGTGAAACTCACTTCCCAGGAATACCCAGAGATAAAATACCTTGTGCTAATGTGTTCAGTTCAAAGAACAGCATTAATTCAGAGACAGCGATGCAACTGAGCTCAGCTTTCAGATTCCAGAGGTCAAACTGCAAGCCATAGGGAGAGATCAATCATGAAGAACATTKCCCAGTAGTTTCCAACCCTGAAATTAATGCAAAAAGGCTTCAATTGAACATTCTGACCAAAAAAAAAGAAAAAAAGAGAAAAAGCAAATATAGGAAAAATCATTGTAGAAATTGTTGTCTTATGTTTTTGGCTCTTACAAAAGATGAGAAAGGGATTCAAACTGTTCTAAGGCTGTGGTAATAACAAAGATCACACTTTTACGACAGGAAAGTTGTGAGTCTGTGCAACACAACTGCAAACGTGGATGGCTTGGGTTTTCATGGTTGACTAAATGATTTCAACTACTTAAAGCACACCYTACTACTTGGGAACCATGGAACTGGACTGTTTGTTTACAAGAGACAGCTATAAAATAAACACAACATTTGGGTTTCAGCTGAGACAAACAAGCAGAGCCAGAASGGGACCTGTGATCAGTTCTTAAGTGCCAGATGAGAATACATATAGCCTAATAGAATAATAGTTATATTTGTACAAAAATAAAAGAAAACAAAATAAAAAAAAAAGTGTACTGTACGTAGATCTGTTTAGAGAAAAAAAATACTGTATTTTTACCTTTAATAAGATTATCTTGTATACTGTAATATTTTTACCTAAAAATGGGAAAAAAATTAAAATTACCTCATAATATTTTGTTGTACACTGAGTGAAATACTTGCTTGATCTTTTGACTACCTATTACATGGAAATAGGGTTTTTTTTTTTTATTATTTTCTGTGATGTAGGAACAACGACATCATTATATGAAACGTTTTCCAGGCACAGCTGTGCCAATCAGCTCCTGTCCTTCCAGCATCTGTACAGGAGAAGCTGTGCAGTCCTGCCATGGGGAGTTAGAATGCTGCTCTCACTCAGGAAT